AATAATAATATCAAAATTCTTTAATTGAATTTATCAATGTAACTGTTTGAAATAAAAGGAAGAAATAGTATCTTAACATTTGATATGTCTAAATTCAACATAATTTTTTTATGATATTAACAATTAAACTTCAAATTCGAGAAGTAAAAAAACTAAATTCCAAATGTACTGAGAGTATAAGAACTTGGAATATATTTAACCTAAAATATAATTTAATATATATTTTTTTATTGGTAGGAGAAAAATAGTTTACAACAAAGTGAGAAGGAATATAGAAATTTTGATTTTACATGAATTTGTGAGAAATTATTGATCTAATTGCCGTGAGTGTTAAGAAACAATGATTGGTAGCAAATTATGGTTTTGAACATATCATTTAATTATCCTTTGAATTTGTCTATAAAAATCAAAGTCGTTAGGTTCCTTATTTTAAAAAATTATTAATTATTAGTCGGTGTACTGAGACAATATGTTAGGCTCTTCAAATAATATCAAAGGTTCAATCCTTAATATTATGAGTAGAATAAACTAAATTAAGAATATCATCATACAATAAAATTTTTATAATATCTAATTCAAATTAATTAATTAATAGATCAAATATCAGTAGTTATACTAAAAAAATTTTATCTGGGTTTTCATAAACAAACCATCTATTCAAATAAAAACTACTCAATTTATTTGTCTTGTTTGATAACATCAAGAATTTAAATGATTAGGGGAAAAAAACCTAGTTAACTAATCATGAAGACTTGTAATCATATCTTACATGGTAAAATTTTGATCTTTTCTACTAAGTAAAACCCTAAACTTTAAATTTAAGGTATAAACTCAGTTTAAGGCTTAGTTACGATTTTAGTTTCTTTACTATGCTGAAATTCGAGATTTGGTTCCTTTACTTTATTTTTACATAATTTGGCATATACACTTGTATAATGTTATTAGTATCTCTTTTAAAGTATATATTTTAAAATAATCTAAATATTTATTTAACATATAGAATTATTATCGGTTAAACATAATTGATAGAACTTAATTACGGACTCGAATGACCGAGTAACATTAAATAACTTCATATTGCCACTTGTGGTATCATTAAAAAGAAAATTATAAAAATAAATGAACCATAAGTATACCTAATTAGAATATAAGGATCAAATCTGAAATTTTAACATACTAGAGAGATAATTGTTCTCAAACATCATTAGCCGACAAAGACATGCCTTGTCTAAAAAGGTTGTTGAAAATTATTGGAAATCACAAGAAGTGACCCATAAGCCAAGGAGGGGGTGTATTTCAAGGGTAATTTTCTCAAAATTTATAATGATTTTTAAATAGAATTTTCTATTCATATTTATTATTAACTTGTTGGTATATTGTTGAATTTTAAATAATTTTAATGTTGAAAATTCAAATATTATTATTTTGAAAGGAAAAAAAATAATGTGCTAACTTAAGTACATAGTGATAAATATGAAATTTTCTAAAATTAAATATTGGCACTTCTACGAAATCAATTATTAACTATAATAGAAGACACGGCACAATGATAGTAATAGACATGCAACTATAATTTCAGTTCATGTGTGTTGTGTACACTTAACATGTTCATATATATATATATATATAAAGTAAAATAATGACATTGGCTGACTTTGAGATAAGATTTGCTCATAGCAAATTATTACATTTATAAAATACAAAATAGTTAGAGGAGTCCATTCAATGTGAGGCTTGGTAAGGGGATTTGCCCCATGCTTCATTAAGGTGATATATATATACACACACATTAAATATGAATATATAAATTCGAATAAAGCACGAACTAAGCGACTTCAGTGATAAAAGAAATATTGTTATTTTTTGAGGTATCGTATCGGGTTCAAGCAATATGAATGTCAGGGGTGCGAGCATTCAATATCAAATTATTGAGAGTTATGTTTAAACATATATTACCTTGTACATACCTTAGATTAATCAAATAATAGATAGATAAATAAAATTTTAATGAATGTCTGTTATAAAATTGAGTAAGATATTAATAATGAATCATAAAATAATAATATATATACTTTTCATGAAAAAAATTAGATAAAAAATTTACGAAAAAGAAAAAAAAAATTATAATAAAAAGAATATTGTAATTTTAAGTAATGCTAGATGCATAAATATATATGTACAGATATTAAACATCTTTGAAATATCTTCACGTCTACTATTAATCTTACTTTTTCTTTTAAATTAGTTCTTCATTAAATATATGACACAGTAATTTTTTAGAATTGAAGTAAACAAAATTAAGATTAATCCTTAAGAATACAAAATGAACCCATTTGTTAATTAAACTTTTATTTTCTTAAATCAATAGGCAATATTTGACCTTGATTAATATATTTGTCTTATAAAATAATATTTTTTTAAATCATTAATTAAATCAGATAGAATGGAATTAAAGTTACTATCTTTACCATAATATATATATATATATATATATATTATAAAATTGAAGAGGAAGAAAGCATAATGGAAAATGATATGTAGCAAAATGAAAGCAATATTATATATACACACACAAGCTAAAGAGTAAGTCATCTGTTCTCCACAAGAGAATCGAATAGAGTTCGGTTAAGATCTATTTGATGCTTAAATTATGACAACTAGGCGTCTACGTAAAGACTTGAAATAAAAATTAAAAATAAAAAGAATCTAGGTTTTATATGTTATTATCTCATTCCTAAGATTTTTATATAATTATTTATATCTAAATTATTAATCAATTAATTTAAATTAAAAATACAAAGGTTAAGATTAGGATTGAAATCACTATTATGTCTATATTGATATGTACACTTTTTTTCCTCCATTTAGATTTAGGGAGTTTTTTAACGAGGTTCATATCGTTGTTTCTGTTTTGTATGTGTTTCGAATAATAAAATAATATAAAATATTTTTTTAAGAAAAAAACTCGAGTTTAGATCGAATCATTAAAAAACCTGATTCAACCTTACCTATACCCATCAATGTGTCTAACCCATTTTTTGTGAACTTTCCCTCTCTTGATTTTGTGATAAATGTCAAATCGGATAAATCGTTGAATCTCGATTTAACTGACTCTCCGGAGATGTCTAAGGAAAGACAACCTAATATACGGCTAAAGAAAGGCGCTATCTGAAATGTTAATATTTTTTTAGCATTTTCGGTAAAACTCTATCTAAAATATTATTTTTTTCTATCGGAAATGTTAATATTGGGCGCTACTTAAAATGTTATTTTTTTCTACCGGTAAAAGGTCTTTCCTTAACCGTATATTAGGCTGATATTAATCACAACTACCCTGAATCTCCCAATCAATCTATTCCATATTTTTTAAATGGTTAAAATTCGAAAGAATAGAAGCAGAGGTACATTGGGGAAACAAACTCAATTGTTATGAATGTGAAGGGTCTCTTTCGTTTCCTTATCCAAGTGGCAATTGGAAAAAGTATGTACATACTTTGAAGAATGCAGTGTAGTTAATGTTATACCTGCTCAAGAAGATAGGCCTCATGACAAGTATTACAAACGTCCAATTCGCACATGCTATGTGAATAATCAATATAGATTTAGAAGGAATTAAATTATTAAATTTTAAAAATATAAAAAGTATTAAATATTTAAATTCAAAATTCGAGAATAAAACTATAAGATAAATCTGTCTCATCCCTTCTTTAATTTTGTCCCGATCCTATATAATTCCTTATAAATTTACTTGGCCGTATTACTTGATGTCATAGAGATGTGTAAGTGAAACCCTATTTTCTTCGTATATAGATTATTAGTTTTATTTATTTATTTTTTTCATAGAAGATATTATTAAACTTATATAATAATACCTTAAAAATTAAATTTGATAATATTTTCAAAAGTTTTGTAATATGAAACCCACATATTTTCTAAAAAAATATGTAAAAATTAATAAATTTATGATAATATCACTTGATTGCGGTATCAACCTTAGTTAAATAAATATAATTCATTTAAATGAATATAATTCATTAGCATGCCATTGGTATCAATACTTATATTAATGTATTAAGTAAATCGCACTGATGATTACTAGTGTTTAAATAAGTTGTCATTTTTCTTACTGAAATTTTAAAAGTAATAAATTGATTACTAACATTATCGATTTGTAACAAAATAATCACTCAACTATTAACCGTTAAATTGATGATGTTGCACTATTAATAAAAATGTTAATATTAAGTTTTACCCCTAATCTATTGCTAAAACATTAAATAGATCCTTCAACAATTATTTTATATTTAATTTACCCAAAAGCTTTTTAATATTTTTTTTCAAACACCCCATTATCTCCGGTGTGATGAAGTCATCGTTTGAGAGGGTTGAAGAAGATGACATGGGATTCACGGAGGAAGAAGGAGAAACAGATAGTGAAGATGAGGAGCAAAGAGAGGAGATTCATGATAAAGGGTGGTGCCTCGTGAGAGATTTGAGAGTACCGACTTTCATATACCACTCAAACTCTGCAAGCTGCTGTACAGATGCTGGCAGTAGCGGCCCCGGCGGAGGTGGTTGTCAAGCTGATGGATTTGGTGTCGATTTGAAATAGGCAAAGCAACGACGACACAGAGTCTGCAAGTCACACGCCAAGGCTGCTTTTGTTTCGGTTAGGGGCAATTGCCAGAGGTTGTGCCAACATATCAACAGATCACACATTAACGTCCAAATTCAAGTCCTTTTGTTATGTTTCCGAAAGAGATTTTGGCACTTGTGCCTCCTCACGTTTCTCATACAAATTATATTTGCGATTTGGTGAATTTTTTGAGCGTAAACGCTTGTTTCAAGAAATTTCAAAATTCGATGGTCGATCCATAACGTCAGTTTTCGAAATTTTAATAAGGAAGACGAAAACTTATTCAAACATTAATGATCATTAGTACAGTTTATCCAAATATTAACCGAGTCTGTACTCTGAAACGAAAAATCTACAAAGTTCAGGTTAAAAAACAAAGATCATAATTAAAGGGCTAAAACGACACCACATTACAGTTGAGACCTCAATTTGTTCTAACCGGGGGGATTGTTTTAACAAAAGGTGGAACCTACCCTACCATTCATTTCAACTTAATAACTCAAAATTTTGAACAAGGCTTCTCCACCTAAATCGGACTTTGGAGTTTAGAGGCCGAAGAAGCCCAGTTCGCTGGCTCTCTCCTTCTCGAAAGTCTCAAAGTACTGATATATTATTGTTACGGCAAGCAAGATTCCAGTCCCAGAACCGATTGCTCCCATGAAATCGGCTAGGACGGTTAATGCACCGATGCACATTCCACCGAACGCAGCTGCGGTTGGAATGTAGCGGTTCAGTTCTTTCTGCAAGTTTGAGTCTCTATGCCCCGGCATCACCATTTGTTGTTCCTACAAGAAAACGAAGAACATGATCATTAAAAGTGGCAACAAGGTAGGTTTAATCAAATCGAAATCATTCGATCACATATGGAAAAAACTGTGTAACTGGTGGGGTTCAAAAAATTTCCAATTCATACATGAGGCAAACAAACATGATTAAAATGAGTCAGCTCACCTTGAGTTGCTTAGCGACGTCCTTGGCTGAAGAACCGGAAACTTCGATCCAAGTTTTCGAAAATAAGGCACAAGCTGAAAGCATGAACACCAGATAAAACAGAGCATGGAAGGGATTTGCTGCCATGTCCGCCAAGCTGTAGTAATAATCAGATAAACCCAGGCATCAAAATATAAGAAGAGAACATAGCTAAACAGGAAATAAAATCAAACATTTCATCGGTGCAAGAAAATTAAAGAGATGGAAGACCAAACACGAACAAAGATCGGTTCTAACCTTGCAGGGGCAGTAACATAGTATGCTAGACCACCAACGGGAATAAACTGACCACCTGAATATTCGGATTCTTTCCACTTGCCCAAAAGATTCACAAAGAAGTTACCACTGTACTTCCTGTACAGCAACTGCAGAAAACAAACTGCGCTAAAGAAGTGCGCAATGTTACAAGTAAAATGGAGCCTCATTCAAATAGAGTAAAAGGGTACCTGGGAGATGAAATATAGGTTTGAAACAAGTGCGGATTGAAGGATGATAGGCATGTTGGAGGTGTAGAATAGCTTAATGGGATATGATCCTTGTTGTCCACGAGCATTCTTGGATCGTACGGGCAAAACAACACGGAAACCTTGGAAGTAGATGACAATAAGGAAGATCAATACCGTAGCAAGTAGATTTGTAACATTTGGAAGATTCTGCCGGTAGAAAGCCTCGCGAAGTGCTCGAACTTTGTCTGTCCTAGTTATTAATAGATGGAACATAGCAATGACAGCACCCTCAAATTCAGCCCCACGGCCGCTGTTAATTGTTGTAGGGCTAAAAGCTTTCCAAATAATGTTTTCACTGAAGAATCAAAATAGTAATTAGGATAGCTGCTTCCAGGAATACATTTGAGTTGAGTTTAATACGGAAAGCATTGTAATAAGGTACCAGATATTGGTAGCTATGAAAAGGGAGATCCCAGAACCCAAACCATATCCCTTCTGGAGAAGTTCATCAAGGCAGATGACAATGATTCCGGCAAAGCAAAGTTGAATAATAATAAGAATAGCATTTCCAACACCAAGCTGACCAACACTGCCATACATACCAGACAGTACATATGCCACTGCCTCACCTACAGCAATCAGGATGCCCAACAACTTTTGAGCCCCATTTCTGCAAAGCACAAATAAGCATGATAATTATAATATGCACATAGGAAATACAAAGGATACATAGAATTCCGTTCTGAGCTATCACATGTATAAAAAGAGAAAATAGCCGTTTAAGGTAAAAGGCAAAATAAATTATAATGAGAAAATACTTACAAGAGTGCGCGATCCTCCCGAACGCTGTTGTCAACCTCAATGATCTTTGAACCAGCCAAGAGTTGCATCACCAATCCGGATGTCACAATGGGGGTAATCCCAAGTTCCATAACAGTTCCACGGTTGGATGCAAGGATAACACGCATCCAATAGAATGGATCGGCACCAGTTGTAGAATGAATTCCATAAAGTGGAAGTTGACTGCACACCAAAAAGATGAAGAGGGAGATGACGGTGTAGATGACCTTTTCTCTGAAAGGAATTTTCCTGTCAGCACTTTGAACCTCGGGCAGAAATGAAAGGAATGGTCTAACCAAATGCAGTACTCTGAACCCTCCTCCCATGTTGGCTATTCAGAACTGAATTACATAAAAAATTCAGCAATTGTTTGTCAGTTAGGGAACTCGCAAAAATATATGATGAGGAGGGAGGTAGCAGCCACACATATCATTGATAGTCAAAATTAATAAAAAGCCAGTGGTTATGAATTGAACAAAATAACTGAAACATTTTCCTTTAGATTCAGCAAATATTAGAACACAAATATGCAAGAAATGAATCTTGCATAATAAGTATCTGATTTTATATTAATATCTAACTCGCTGTCCAATTCCGAAAACAAGAACAATGTTACTTATAAAAAAAAGCATGCATAAGTCCTACAAAACCGTTCTCATATCCAGCCATATCTGAATAGTCGAAACATGCAATAAAGTAAATCAATCCGATCTAGAAATTAAAAGTCGGCATCCGAAATGAATTACCAGAAAATAATACAGATCAATTCAAATCAATCCGATCTAGAAACGTGATTTCAAATTCTATTCAAAACAAAATATACGATAGTTTTAAAAAAGATCCGTTCAAAAATCAGCTAAGCTAGAAGGAGGGAGAAAAACGAGACAAACACCAGCTTATGCATAGATCAAGCAAAATTACCAGCAGATCTACAACTCTCGAAATTAAATCTGGAAAATAAAAATTCCAAAACTGAACATTCTAAAACAAAAAATTATACATGCACATCCAGATCTGGTAACAAAAACATAGATCAAATCATTTCCCAGGAAAATAACCAAATTCTCAAAAAACAAGCTTCAAAAAAATTTAAAAAAATCTAAAAAAATAAAGACAGTCATAGGCATACGATTACGATTCGGTGAGCAGATCTGAGAATTGATATTAATTCGAATAGAAAAGCTTTACCTTAGAGAAGAGTTCTTCGGATTTTCCAAAGAGAATATCGTCCCCGTGCTGGGCTGAAAATGAACGAGACAATTGAAATTTTTATAGCGCAAAAAATAAAAAAAAAAATATTTGAGAAAGGTTTGCCTTGCCACGATATCTTACCCAATAAGGATTTACCACCTGTAATATTGGCGTATGATTAGTTATTCAGCTTCGGATCTCAGCTATGTACCCATTACTAATGTTATCTTATTAAGAATTCATCCAATCCATTAAAATGTCCTTTTGAAAAATGTATTAAACTCTTTAAAAAATAAGTAAAATTTTGTTTTGAAATTTTTTGAATTAGTATTAGTTTGATTGGTATTATTATTATAATATATAAAACATTATTGATTTTTTAAATTAATTATATTTAAATTCATGTACATACATAAATTATATTACTTAAATCGAATCATTAAGGAATAACAAAATCTCTTTAGCATACACTAAGAGTTCAACATTGTTGATTTAAATATATTTAATTGTGTATTAATTTTGGTCATTAAATTTTAAAACGTTTCAGTTTTAATACTAAAAATTTAAGTAGTCTTTTTAGATTGTTAAGTAGTTGACAATGTAATGGTATGATAACTTATTCCTTGCTTTTATATAAAAAAAATTATCAATTTATTCTTTTATCATTATCAATCAATCATCGCCTGTCATTGATCGTGGTTAACTATATCATCAATATCAAATCATTCATATTTCATTCATCTTTCTTTTTCTCGATAAGATATCAAAATAATGTTTAATTTTGTTCTAAAATTTGTAAACGTGGATGCATCAACATAAATCTTTTTAATTTTATTTTATGATTATTCACTTATTCAGTTTCGTGTTAACAATAGGATACTGGTGTTGAACTTGAGGGTGAAGGAATTAATGGTTATAGAGAATATGATAATAGATTATCAATGCGGACTAAAAGTATAGAGGAGTTGAATGATAAGGAAAAAACAGGCATAAAAAGACTGGAAAGTAGTTGTTTTATGAGTCCCGTCTTGCTGAGGACACTGGGGTATGGATACTGGAGGTTATTTCCCTGATGGGGTGAGTTCCTTGGTGAAGAGAATGGGTTGAGTATGTAGGATGTGATAGTTGAGATGATACTTGCTGCCCGTGCGAAAGTAAATGCTTTAACTTCTGGGTGAGGCTTATCGAGTCATTTGCTTGACCAATCTTGGCAGGAGATGGCTCAGACGCTAAACGAAGCGAATATGGGTAACGTGAAGAAGATTCTTGAAGCGGAACCGCCAAAGTGGTTTGCGGACAGTGCTACTTTTGCTTGTATGTTGTGTGGTATTAGGTTTCATCACCCCATCACCATTGCAGGTTTTGTGGAGGAATATTTTGCGGTGTGTTGTAAAGGAAGGAGTTTAATGCCCCAGAAGTTTCGTGTAACGGATCCACAACGTGTCTTTGATGTATGTTGTGTGCGGCTTGTATCTGTCCACCCATAATCTCTGTTTGAATGTGTAGGTGTTTTTGTTGGATGTTCACTTGAAATATTAAAGGTTAAAGGGTTTAAATAAAGATAAGAATCAAAATATGTTAGGATGGTTAAATTACCCTAATTTGATGGGTCTCGACTTGATCTGATTTTATAGGGCTGATTTTTTTTTGAAATTTCGGGGTTCGGGGTGGAGTGAGACAAGTTATATAGTGTATAACTTTAGAGCCAGCCAGAATCAGATTTAAGGTAAAAAAAAATTGACCCGACCCGATCTAATATAAATTACTAATTTATTCATATATATATAAATAATATTTAATATCTTAGAGATTTTATTTTTATATTGTTAAAAATATATTCTTTAATTATTAAAAATATAATAAAATATATTATTTTAACCATTTAAAATATAACAAATAATTATAAATATATTGTTATAAAATATATTTTTTAATTATTTTAAAATATTAATATATTTCAATCTGATCGGGTCGGGTAGAGGTTTTAACCTAAAATTCGAAGCGGAGTTAGACCAAAAAAAAGCTAAAATTCATTGAGACGAGATAGATCGGATATAAGGAATATATTTTCGGGTCTATGTTTGTAAAAGTATTAAATTGGTTAAAAAAACAACGATTAACACATTTTGGGTACCAATTGTGTAACATTTGTCAATTACAAATTTCGAATTAGTTTATAAATAAGGTAAACTATACGTTTAGTATCTAAATTATTACTTTTGTTTTGTTTTAATACTTAAAATTTATTTTTTTTCAAAATCATATATGACGTTTAATTTATGTTTCAATTTGATCTCATCATTAAAATCTTAACGGCACCGATGAATTAGAATTTATATTACAAGACGTGTGAAATATCGAAAAAGGGAAAATAATTCCACGTCATCTTTGTCACTAAGTTTTTATTGTGAGATACAAAATTAAAACCTAAGTTAACTGTTATGTATGATTTTGAAAAGAAAAATAAAGTTTAGGTATTAAAATAGAATAATAGTGATACTTTACGTATTAAACGTGTAATTGACCCTTATAAATAAACAGAAAGGCCACATTTGTAGAAATTAAGAAATTCAAGTACTAAATTGTATATTAAACCAAAGAGAAAAACCGTCTAGTAAATGGGTGAATATTTGAGATTGACTTGCATGATTGCGTCGTCTTTTATCCTTTACTCTGTAGTTTCACTTCATTTCCACTGTTCTTCTCGTTCTTCCCCAAGTTTCTTAATATAATCAAAGTTCGGCCATGGCTGAAATCTCCGAGAGCAATGCAGTTTCGGTTTTAAACTTTAACGATGAACCCAATGATCAAAATCCTCCACCGTCATCCGCCATTACCAAAGACTCTCACATGTTCTTCTCAACACCTTTCATCCAAAAGGTATATATATAATGATTTTGTTTTGTTTTCAAGAGACATAAATGGTGATTTTGTTTCATAATTTGCAGTTGTTAGCCGAAGTTTTGGGCACGTATTTTCTGATATTTGCCGGCTGCGCATCCGTAGTTGTCAACGTCAACAACGACAAGGTCGTGTCGCTGCCGGGAATATCTATGGTGTGGGGCTTAGCCGTGACGGTCTTGGTTTATTCATTGGGACACATCTCCGGCGCCCATTTTAATCCGGCGGTCACCATTGCTTTTGCAACCTGCAAAAGATTCCCACTCAAACAGGTAAGTGGTGCCGTTTTATTTAGTTTTGATCATATATTTACATGCAATGCTTGATTTGATTTGTTGATTTAGGTGCCATTTTATATTGTGGCTCAAGCTATCGGCTCTACAATGGCGGCCGTGACCCTCCGCCTACTGTTTAGCTGTCTGCATGATGTCTTTGCCGGAACGTCGCCACAGGGGTCAGGTTTACAAGCATTCGTGATCGAGTTCATCACCACTTTCTACCTTATGTTCGTTGTGTCCGGTGTTGCCACTGATGATAGGGCTGAAAGTTCCCCACCTTCATAATATTATATTACGATTATAATGTTTGTTAAGGATATTGCAGTCGTTATATAATGTATAATTACTATCCAATATGTGATTTGTTTTTCAAAAATCATTTCGAAATCTTATCTGTAATATTGAAAGTGACATTCTGATTCTGTCACCTTTCCATATTCGTATAGATTGGAGAATTCGCGGGACTTGCCGTTGGCTCCATCGTGGTGCTTAACGTGTTGTTTGCTGGGTATTACCTCTTCTTTCCTTAACCTATTTTAATAGCTCGGCGAGCAAAAGATATCAAAGAAAACAAACGTCACCTGAATTGAGTTCATTTCAAGTCATTCGTTTTGATTCGGAAGATTTTCAGTTTTGGATTGTTAATTGGGTTTGACAGGCAGATAACTGGAGCATCGATGAACCCGGCAAGGAGCTTGGGGCCTGCAATTGTGTGGAACCGATACAAGGGAATATGGATATATCTTACATCGCCAATCGTTGGGGCAGTGTCCGGTGCTTGGGTTTATAATATGTTGAGGTTCACCAACAAGCCCTTGCCACGCATTACCAAGGCTGCTTCTTTCCTCAAAACTTCATGTAATTGTGATTAAAAAAGAAAATTTTCTATTTATTAATGTAAAAGGTCGTTTATTGTCTTATTAGTACCTTCCAATCCGCATCACTTTGAATCCGTACTTGTCACCGGTGCCTACCGGCATAACCGTCTGTTTTCCTCATTCGCGGGAGAAGAATACTTCTACAACAGACCGAAATAAACAATAATTCCGTCGCGAACGACGCGATGCTAACCCATATGAATACAGTTTTCTTCCAATACCATATAATTCTTTTGATGAAAGGAAGTTTGGATTCAAGGGTGAGGGATGCACCATATAGCTCGGGAATACCGGCGCCCTGCCCGTGTGCTGCTTGTTGTTCGAGTACTACCTTTAAGCAAGCGGTGGGCACAGGGCCTTTGTTCAAACCTCTGATCTTCACATTCAGGGTCTGGATTTCAGAAACAAAGCCGGCGACTACAGGTGCAGCCTTGAACAATGTCAACAGAAGGCGGATAGGTACGCTTCTGAATCTCATCATGCATGGATAACTTGAACTGGCAAGTGTTTCACCATTTACAGAAAGAAAATCTGTCCTTGCCTTCAAAAAAAATTGCACTAGCATCCATCAATGCTGATAAAGGAAAACGAAATCAATTACGGTCTATATTGCTCGGACACTTTATTTTTCTTAAAGTACTTAAGTTGGAGATCTGTTTTCAATGCATATTTGGGCATCGGTCTAGGATATGACCCTCTAAGGACGTATACCGATATCCGATACTCACATCCAAGTTGCACCTAGTATTCATCAATACTGATAAAGAAAAACTAAAACCAGTACGGTTTGTGTTAACTCGACACTTTATTTTACTTTACGTTGAAGATCTGTTTAATTCCAATGCATATTTGGACATAAGTTTGGGATACGACCCTCAAAGGACCTATACCAATATCGACACTCACATCCGAGTTGCACCTAGCATTCATCAATACCGATAAAGAAAAACGAAAATCACTAGTATGTATTACTCTGATACTTCATTTTACTCGAAGTACCTATGTCGGAGATCCCTTTTTGATGTATATATGGACATTACTCTGCGATATAACCCTTTAAGGACCTATCTGATATCGGACACATTCGAGTAACATGGTAGTTACATAGGAAGAAACACGTTTTTGAATAGAAGTGTATCACAATCCTAAAATATCTAAATACATTTATTACTCTACAACATAGTATGCCATGTAAGGAATATACATGAGAATCAATCATTAAAACACTGAATATTAGACTCGAATCGACAAATCAGAATACATCTAGATGACGAACTATAAAAAATATTGATTTATAGACCAATTAACATAGTGAAAACATAAACATATAAGGGCAATTTTCATACCTGGAACATCCCCAGATTCCTATTGTAATCAGACTCCGGCAATGTCAAAGAAACAGTGACCTGCAATTCATGAAAAGGCGGTATAATCCGAGACCCCAAATTCATCCCCACATCAATCTTCTTCTTCTTCTCAACAGCAGCACAAGAAACGATGGGAACAAAGGCAACTGGACTATTCTTAGTATACTCAAAATTCAAGGTTTCCTTTACCACAAAAGGTCGCTCCACCAAATACCTCATCAGAATCCCACTAATCACAAGCGAAGTAAACACACACCCACATAGAACAAAGGCTAAATATGCAGCCCACAAGATTCCCCACCCGAATCCGAGAACGAGTCGACCGCACGGTGAATTGACCCACAATTCGATCAACTTTGAGACCACATAAGATGTGATTTGTCTCAATGGTCTAAAAGGATCGATCACTAAAATGATGAGATAACTCAACGCTGTTATGGGTAGCGTAATAGATCTTATTATCAATTTTAACAGAAACCCAATCGATTCCATCGTTAAACGGGATATAAACATTAGTAAAGTTAACGAAGAATATAATGAGTCATTAAGTTCAGTCCCCGAGTCGGCGGAGTTACGACCCTGGGTGACCAATTCATCGTTTTTCTCCGTGGTGACAGTCTGTTCGACGTGGGTTGTTGAATCGGTTATCTCGGGAATATCGTCATTTGGGTTCAAATCGCGGTGGAATTTGTATGTTTTAGAACTTGTTTTTGAGTCGGTTTCTATAAGGGAATCTCCGAGTTCATTGGGGGAGCTTCCCCGGTGGGAGAAGAACCGGTGGCGGAGAGTGGATGATTCGCCGAAGGTAGAAGGATCCGATTGGTCGACGGTGAGGGCACCGTGAAAGGAAACGTCTTCGTGGAAGTGGTCCTTTTCGTCGGTGATTTCGGATTCCATTTGAGCAAGGTGACGATATGATGCTTGCTTTCCTTTTTCACATTTAAAAAAATATTTTTTTTTAAATTTTTTTAAATATATTATAAATTCTATCACTAAACTTTCTTTGCACTCTTATTTTTAATACTATTTTTTATTAACTCACCGAGTTTTCAATTTTCACAAAACCTAATATTATTAATTAAGATTTAGAAAGTAGTTGAATTAAATACTAATTATAAATGGATTTGGATTTAGATTTTACTAAAATTGTAATTTTTTCCATTATTATAATTTTTTGAAAGACCCGAATTTTACGTATTTAACCAATAAGTTTAAATTAATTTATTTGAAAACATTTAATAAATAATTAAATTTAAAATTCTATAAATGTAGCAGCTTTTAATTTTTTTTATTTTTAATAATTTTAATTTAAAGTATTTATTTTTCTTATAATAAGCAGTAATAACTTTATTAATAAATTAACATGAACCAAATATTAAAAAATTATTATCTAATTATATAATAATTTAAATATAATGTTTTAATATTTAATAAACTCTGCATCTGCGATTTCTTTCTTTCCAAACGAAAATACACGTAAAAATGACTTTGTAAACTCTCATTCCTTAGAACAATGACACTAAAGGTTGAAACCAAACTTAGAACAGCAAAATAGTGTAAATCACAAAAAACAATATCTGTTTGTTATCTCATCAAAGCCGCCTGCATTTTATCAGTTATCAGAGCTGTGCAAGACGGTGGATATCGATCGGATAAGCATCGGACAGCGACTGAGCACTGTATGATCTCCTTCCTATGATCACATTTGCAGCCTCAGTTGGATGAAAAGCATCCCAAAACAAGTACTCATTCCTATTCCTACATGGCCTTTGTAAAGGCAAGCAAGTGATTTGCCCATTGTTCCTCCCAACACCACAACACCCTGCATTTGTCACCCTAAACCCTGAAACATAACACATAGTAACACTCAACCATGTCGGATCGATAAGGTCGATAAACGCCGGTTAACATTTTTTTCTCGGATTAGTAGTGTTCTTACCGAGAGCTGAAGGATTGCTTGTGATGTCTTGGAAAATTCCATAAACATCAATGTAAATGAACTTTGCATCAGAATCATTGGAGGTTTCAAGTTCAGCTCCGAAACAGACAATACCTTATCACACGAACGCGGTTCGTATACGTAATGATGAACGTAGAATACGAACCTGAAGCTGCTGAGTATACTGTTGGATAAGAACATCAGCATATTGCTCAGGGCTAAATCGCCTGCTGGTGGAGTAAAAAAGAGGCATGAAATAGTTGTTAAGGTAATCATTGCTGCCGAGTCCAATTGAATAAATACATTTGCTCAAGTAACTTGATGCGTTTGCTTCTCCCCCAAACAAGTTCACCACTTGTGCAACTGTCTGCCTGTAATTTCTAACTTGTCCACTGAAACTGATCCGAGCTCCAAGTTGTTGTCCGGTTTCTTCTCGGATTCCTGCAGCCGCCGACGCGTAGTTAACCCCGCCGAGTATTTGTCTGCCTCTAGCATTCGAGTAAGGAGGAATGTAGCTTTCGAACCCCAAAAGTTCAGCTGTGGATAGGAACATATATACAATCATACGTTAAAATTGAATTCGATATTCAAATATGAGTACAAGACTATAATCCGAACCCATTTTAGAGAGAAACCCAAAGTTTCTTTTCGTCGAACACAAACAAGGAAGAAGATAATACATACACATACACATATGGAAATTTAGAAGCTTACTAATGACATCGACTGTGGTTTTGCCATTGGAGAACCTCCCGGTTGGACCATTAGGGAAATCGATTCCATAGGGCATGTAATTAGCTTTAGCAAGCGATGATAATCGATTGTTATTCCCATTATCAACCAATGAATCCCCGAAGATGAAGAAACAAGGAACTTGGGGTTCTCCATTGATTACCCCAAAGCTTAAACTCAGAGCTAAAGCTAACCCAAAACCAAACAGCGCACACATTGTTGCTGCCAAAGGAAAGCTCAAAGAAGAGAGAGAGGAAGAAAGGTTGAGATTTTGATGGACACAATGGCGTCTTGTGAGGGATATATATAGAGATGGAGAAGGAGAAAGAGTACGCAGTGGAGATATCGAAAAGATAAAGGCATGCAAGTGATTGCTTTTACAGTTGAAGAAACTAGGTTTAATTCATTCATTTCACGCGGAGTGGGAGTCTCTCTCGTCTTGTCTGTCCACAGTCAGCTTGAATGCAATATACTACTATTATATTAGTGTACTTATATATACACTATTAAAAATCATATATTTAATGATATTTGAGATTTTCATTTTTTTAAGAAAAAAATAATGTGATTCTTAAATTAAACTGACTGTTACAATAATAATATAATGTGGAAATTTACTATACTAATATAACAATCCTCGTAAATTAAATAACCCATAGTTTGGATTAATATACGGATATCATTTCTCATATTAAAATACAAATTTAAGTGTTCTTTAACTTATTTTTGTGCTGCATGATATCGGAAATATATATACAAAAGTCAAAGGGTAGCCTTTATAATCTAGGAAAAAGAACATTGCGAAGTCAAATCTCAAAAAGGCTATCAACTTGGTGAAGAAAAGAGAAATGGGAACTCAAATCACATGCCATTACAGTGACCAGATATAGGCATACTGTGGTCCTATTCCAGTATTCCTATGTGTGTGTATAAATCAACTTGTTGGCATTTCATACATAGCATCTAATTTAGGGTTCATTTTGACTATCTTGTCATTGTGCATGCCTTCACTATGGTCATTGAATCTTTATGTATGTATGTAGTGATTAATGGTTATGGCTGGTGGGTAGGCAAAATTTAATGGTGGAAAGAGTGGCATACCTGAAGTAACATGAGTGTTTGTGGACTTTAACTGGCTTGTCGTTGACCTTCACCGACATCGGGGTCTTACTAGTTCCAAAATGCAACGATACAAAACTTTAATCATCAGTTCATGGAAACAGGATTGGATGATAAATTGGGTAGCATTTATTCAATGGCTTATGCTGTGTGTTGATCCCTTAATTAAATTTCCCCTCCCCCCGGTTCCCATCCCCACCAAAATTTGGAAATATTATGAGCGGGAAAAATAAGTAGGGAAATTAAGCTGTTGGGTAATTGTTTTGGAATTTATACTATTTGATGTATTATACAAGAATTTTGTTATTTTTATACGACGAGTTCTATAAAATATATTAAAAATTAAAATTTATCGTGTGAGTTAGATACAAATGAAACTCGTCATGTCCACATAACGAATTTCAAATACACTATAACAAATAATTTAGAACCTATATTTATTTTTCATCACCTGTATATTCTATTATCCCAAAATCTTTTTCCTACTTGAATTATTTCACTAAATATTTCTTCCCACTCATGTCATTTCTATAACCCATATATCATTCAATGTCATATAACTCATATAACCCCTTCATTAGCAGCACAAACCAATCGACTTCGGTGGTTAAAGGATTTATTATTATCCCTTAAAGTCTCAGGTTTAAATACTTTATATGTTAGGGGTATGAGCGTTCATTGTCAAATAATTAAATAGTGTTTAAACAAATACTATCTTATATTCACCATATATATATATATATATATAAGAACCCTTCAATAACTCATGCTTGTGCTCCTACAAAATAAGTGTTTTTGATATGTACCTTACAAGTTTATTCTTTTATGACAAAATTTGTATTTTTTTTTAAAATATTTTTTGACCAAATTTTATTTTTTTTTTCTTTTATTTTAGTTCGTTCTAAATGCATTGTCGCTACATAGACAGAAGGTGCATCCTGCAAAAAACGTTTTTTCTAAAACATATCTTTATTTTATGTGACAAAAAAGAATATAAGTTCGGGAAATAATCAAATATAGATATTGGAAAATATTTTTTTAATAAGTAATATTTAGGTAAAAGAAGGCAACCAATGCAAAAGCTAACAAGGTTTAAAATTAAATAACTGAATAAAAACTAAAGAGGCTTAAAACTAAATGATTTTGCTTTTTATTTAGGGTAAACTACATAAATAGTCACTAATATTTGAGTGAATTTTTATTTTTTTACTGAAGTTTCAAAAATAACAAATTAATCACTAATATTTTTTATTTGTTATCGATTTGTAATAAATCGACTATTCAATGCTAGCAATCGTTAACTAGATGACGGAAAGCTGATGAGACACCTTAAATCAGTAACCTAACACCATTTTATCACGGCGATTTAACCAAACTAACACATATTTAACGAATATTTACCATTTTAGCACCGTTTAATATATATTTCCCGAAGTGGCACCCTTTCGGCTGAGCTGGCGAAAGGCGCGTCCCCGGGGACGCGCTTTACCCGTGTTTTCGCTGAGTTGGATGCTATGTGTGGAAGGCGCATCCTCGGGGAAGCGCCTTTCGCCAGCTCGATTGCCATGTATTTTGTTTAATAATAAATATTTTATTTTTATTATTATTATAAATTAGTAATATATTATGTAAAGTGTTTCGATTATAATGTAAGAATTATCAAATGTATTTTGTTAATGTGTGTTAAATGTGGAGTGAATTATTTACATTAATATGATAGAACAATATATGAAAATCAGTTTTGATTTTATTGTAGTTATAGGAAAAATGTATGAAATTATAATATAACACATATGGTTATATTATTATTTTTGATTTTGATTATCGATCTAATAATTTTATCAGTTAATTATTTAAATGTTATCAATCTAGTCATCTCTTATCAATATTTAACGAAAATATTGATGCATAAGTTAATAAATTAGTATAATTACATATTTAATCTTAAAGACTTACATATTTTATGAAATTAGTCTTATTGAAAATTTAATTTAATAAATTTAATCCTCCAATCAGAACATGAAATGTGTCATCGTATACATAAATTTTTTAATAGCTTTTAATTTGTTTAATTTAATATTTTTCTCTATTTAGAAGGTGGAATTATTATTATATTTTAAAAAATTTA